TTTTTTGTAGTTTTAGTAGAGACGGGGTTTCACCATGTTGACCAGGATGGTCTCGATCTCTTGACCTCGTGATCCACCCGCCTCGGCCTCCCAAAGTGCCGGGATTACAGGCTTAAGCCACCGCGCCCGGCCGAGTTGTTGCTTTTTTAATGCCTGCTCTCAGGAGGCACTCAATGAACAGTCACTGTCAATAGTGTTGTCCCTGTTATTTTATATTATCAACAGCCACAGAAGACAAGTAGGGCAGGTAGTTCACATCTATCTGGTTACAAAGCTTTATAACTCTATCCATATGAAGTTAAATTCCATTTCTCTCTTTGGTTCAGAAAACTTTTGTACCCACAGTCCCTGATTTGTATAAAGAAATCCAAGGGGAACATAAGCCAACAAAGTCCAAATTGCCATATGGCATTACTATCCTGGAGAAAATCCATGTTAGCATTTTATTTCGGCCAGAAGTAGATTAAGGAGATGAAATTTTCAAAATAAATCACAATCAGTTAATTAAAGTAAGGAAAGACTTTTGTTTGTTTTATGATAGAATGGACTGAAGGCAGCTTACAAGTGGCATCACGCCAAGAGGAGGTATTTCCTAGACAAGGGCCTTGCAAACAGGGCTCCCAGGGAGGAGGCGGAGGACTGCTGAATAGACAGGGCTCTGTCGCCTCAACTTCAACCACAGCAGCTTTGCTTTGTTCTGTCACACACACTGAATTTTTCCATGAGGTTTTCTGTGAAGAAAGAAAGTTCCACAGCTGAAACAGTTTAGAGGCAGCCTGCCTAGTCTCATGGCCCCATTCAGCCACTCCATACCTGTGTGACCTCTGCTAAGTCCCTTAACCTCTCTGTGTCTCAGTTTCCTTAATGGTAAAATGAAAATAATATTATTAACAATAATCAATGTGGGGTTGTTCATTAGTTAATATTTGCCAAGCACTTATAACAGCACATATAATATATAATAAATGATTTGTACATATTTGTCAAATGAGTACATAAAATATGAAACCATTATTCACAATTAAGGCTGACAAGCAATCTGAGTAGTTTTCTTTCTCACAGGAAAGAAACAGGCTATATTTTAAATAACCTGCGGACTGAACTGGCCTATGAAGGAAAAATTGCTTTCGAGGACTTTAAGACTAGCAAATCCATTGTACAAATTCCTTATTGCTGATGCACCATAATTTGTCAGTTTCCTCAGTCAATGATGCTAACATCTAATGAAGAGTTTACAATCTACAAAACAATGCACACACATTATTGTGAATTGTAATCCAAGTGATAAACCACCACACCACCAGGCACCCGAGAGAATCTAACTATACCTCATGCTCCAGTTAATGACATGAAAATAGCAGAAGTATTATACAATAAACATACACAAGCGCCTGTTACGGGTTGAATTGTGTCCTTCCTCTAATTTTATGTTAAAGTCTTAACCCCTAGTTTCTCAGAATGGGACCTTATTTGGAAATAGGGTTTTACAGATGTAATTAGTTAAGTAAACATGAGCTCATAGTGCAGTAGGGTGGATCCCTACTCCAATATGACTGATGTGCTTATCAGGAGAGATGTGGCAGAGATGAGAACACCGAATCCCCTGTGAAAATGAAGGCAGAGATCTACTGATGCTTGTATATGCCAAGAAACACCAAAGATTACTAGCAAACCACCAAGCAGGGCAGAGGCAAGAAACAGATCTCTCTCACAGCTCTCAAGAGGAACTAACCATGTAGATACATTGATCTTGGACTTCTAGGCTTTAGAACTCAGAGATGATCCATTTCCATGTTCAAGCCACACTATGTGTGGTATTTTGTTAGAGCACCCCTAGAAAAGGATTATAGGCACTGTTGATAGTCTAGAGACTGTAACAAGGGTGTTTCCTTTCTTTACTTAACCCTTGATTCATATATTGAGAGACTAAATATTTATTGAAAGCCACTGTGTTAGGAGCTGTGGCTACAGGGCTGAGCCAAAGACCCTAATTTCATGGGATTTTCAGTATAGAGGGAGAGGCAGACATTAAACAACAAGTAAATATAGAGGGGGTCTAAACAAAGTTGTGATGAGTGATATGAAGAAAAGCAGATCAAGGGACTCAGGGTAAAAGGAGATGCTATTCTATACGAGTGGTGAGGAAAGCTGACCTGAGGAAGCAGTATTTGAGCAAAAGATGAAGAAAGTAAGGTGCAAGTCATGTGGCTCTCTTGGATCTAGGAGAAGAGAGTTCCAGGCAAATGGGAAGGCAAGAGCAGAAACTGGCATGTGCCTAGAGTAGTGGTTTTTGTTTTGTTTTGCTTTTGAGACAGAGTCTCACTCTGTTGCCCAGGTCTGAGTGCGGTGGCATAATCTCAGTTTACGTCAACCTCTGCAATTCAAGAGATTCTTGTGCCTCAGCTTCCCAATTAGCTGGGATTACAGAGGTGCACCACCATACTCAGCTAATTTTTTTGTATTTTTAGTAGAGAGGGGGTTTTGCCATGTTGGCCAGGCTGGTCTCAAACTCCTGGCCTTAAGTGATCCACCCACGTTGGCCTCCCAAATTGTTGGGATTACAGGTGTGAGCTACGATGCCCAGCCTCTAGAGCAGTGTTCTAAGAACACCACAGCACAGAGCAAAGCCTACCATTTTCTTTTCTTTTAATGTTGCAAGATCTTTTTCTTTTTTACCTAAGCTTTTTGAGACTTCCAGTTTGTCTAAGGAGTTGTCTCCTGGGCCACATTAAAACGGGTCTAGCCGTTGCTATTATGGATCCCCCAGGATTGAAGCAAAGACAGAGTGAAGCTGTCAGGTACTGCAAAAGTGTAAACAACTGACCCCAGGTCCGCCCAGAAAAGGGGCAACAAAGTCTGGTTGACTGCACAGAGGTATTCTCCACTCACTTCTGGGGTCTGCTGATTGAAAAGCACCATGCTGGATGTCTGGCAGGTTTTGGCTAGCTAGCACTTGAATCTCCTTCCCAGATATGCTGAGGCACCATCTGTATGAGTCTTGCAGGAAAGGTCCCTTGTTCATGCTCACTCCCTGGAGCTGGAGCATAGGGACAGTACCTAGAATCAGCCAATGAGAGCCCGTGCTGGAAGTGCAACTCAGGGACTGGCCATCTGGCTGGTTGGAGCTGGCGGCAGTGGAAATCCAGTCATTATTCAAGAAAGGCAGAGGTCTCTGATACAGAGTGGTGCTTCTTGTCCAAGTGGCAGGAAATTCAGTGGCAGTATCCAGTGGCCAGTAGCTGTGTCAGGAGGATCCTAACCCCTTCATCCCACAGTCTGATTTCACTGGTGTCCTAGCATATGAGATCCTCCCATTTTCCAAACCTAATTTTTCAACATTCCCATCAATTCCAGTAGCTGCTCCATGTTCTCTCAGTAAATTATTCTTCTACTAAGTCAGCCGGAGTCAGTTACTCTGGGTTGCAATCAAGAGCCCTGCTTGGTTTTAGCAGTTTCTGAGTTGTCAGGTTTTCATTTCCTGGTTCTAACAGATTATTTGTTCATTTTTGATCACTATTTTATAGAGCTTGGATATTAGAAACT